GACCTTTCTCGTGATGGTGCTTTACGATTAGTTCCGCGACGATGTGCTTCGCCGGAAATAAAATAGGATGACGCGTCTCGAAAGGTAAATACGTTGCCATATCGATGCGACCATTTAACCTCAGAAGACCCTTTTCGTCGAGATAGGGTGTGAGACTGTACACTGCATTCTGTCTGGAAAGCTGACGCGACGAAGAGAGGTCTGAAATCTCGCTTGCGAAACACTCTTGCTGCACCGTTTTACAGATCATTATCTCTGCTTCTTCAATTTCCGCAGCGGTAAGTACATTCGACAGACGCATATTGACTGACTTTCTATTAAACAACAATTTGGCTCGTAACACCCATGCGACTATCCGTTTTATCTTCAAGTATGAACGAAATTTAGTAAAATCAATGAAATTTTTACTTGCCTGGCAATAAAGGAGACGGCTGGGTTGAACTTCTTCAAGCATTACTGCGGGACGCTCGACAATAGTGGCTGGCCAATGTAGCTCATTGTACTTAAGGAATTCAGGGCCGTTGATCCAGCGGTCATCTGTATTGAACCTAGGTGGATTTGACGGCCGTGTAGCTGCGTCTGCTGGGTTGCTATTAGTGGGAACCCAACGCCACTGCTCAGGAACAGTTACGCTTATGATTTCAGCAATGCGATGACCTACGAAGGCCTTGTATTTTCTCTCGGTGGAATAAATCCATTGCAATACAGTCTGCGAGTCGCTCCAAAACAGAATGCGGCTGATATTGAAGTCGTGGTAGCTAACAAGCATCTTACTTAATCTGGTGCCCAGTACTGCTGCTTGCAACTCAAGTCTAGGAATAGACATTAAGCGATTAGGGGCGGTGCGAGTTTTAGCCATTACGAAAGTCACGTCCACTACGCCGTTGTGCACCACGCGGAAGTAACCAACTGCTGCAAATGCTACTTGGCTAGCGTCGACAAAGATGTGTAGTTCTATGTTGCTGCTACATGAGATATTGGCCGAGTAGCACCGTGGAATCTGAAAATTTCTGATGCGCTGAAACTCTTTCCACCAGGGTATCCATTTCGCTGTCAGATCTGCAGAAAGAGCTTCGTCCCAGTTGATGCCTTGCCTCCAGGTTTCTTGCACCATAATCTTCGAAGAGATTAAGAAATTCGCCAATAGCCCAAATGGGTCGAAAACTGCCATTACGATGCTGAGTAACTCCCGCTTCGTCGGAGCTCGCTCACTAGAAAGCACTGATTGCGGTACGCGATGAAACTTCGTATGGAACTCGAATACGTCTTCTTTGGTGTTCCAGTACATGCCGAGGACCTTTTCGGCGGTTTCACTACGTTCCATGTTAATTATTTCACGCGTTGTTGGTGGTGTTTTGTTCAACGCTCTCTCTACGTTACTGCAATTGGATATGAAATCTCGTAATTCGAAACCTGCCTCCAAATTGATGTTTACAATTTGTTGACAGACTGTAATGGCTTCGTGTGCAACATCAAAACTGGCAACCAGGTCATCGACGTAGTGATTATTTATTATGGTAGATGCAGCTTTCGGGAATTCTGTTTCAAATCTTTCGGCTTTTTTATTCTTCACGCGCTCGGCGATACACGGTGAGCAAACTGCACCGAAAATCATCGTTGTCATCAACAACTCTTGTATAGGTTCGTTGGGGTCCCCGTTCCGCCATAAATAACGTTGTGCGTGTTGATCTATCGGTCGTACCTTTATTTGTGAGAACATCTCTCTGATATCTGCCGCAACTCCGATCTTCCCTTGTCTAAACTGTAACAATATGCGTAGTAACGGTTGTGCTTCCTCCGGGCCTTTCAGCAAAGCTGAATTCAGTAACACTCCATTGACTGAGGCTGCGGCGTCGAAAACTATGCGAAGCTTGCTCGGTTTGTTCGGGTTGAAAACAGCGAAGTGCGGCAGATACCAGATTTGAGGATGTGACGCATTGAGTTCTTCATCGGTTACCTTTCTGGCGTACCCTTTTTCCACATACTTGGCTATNGATATCTGCCGCAACTCCGATCTTCCCTTGTCTAAACTGTAACAATATGCGTAGTAGCGGTTGTGCCTGCTCGGGGCCTTTCAGCAAAGCTGAATTCAGTGACACTCCATTGACTGAGGCTGCGGCGTCGAAAACTATGCGAAGCTTGCTAGGTTTGTTCGGGTTGAAAACAGCGAAGTGCGGCAGATACCAGATTTGCGGATGTGACGCATTGAGTTCTTCATCGGTTACCTTTCTGGCGTACCCTTTTTCCACATACTTGGCTATCTCACGTTTATACCGGAGTGCAAACTCTTCGTCACGGCTCATCCTCCTTTCAACCGATATCAAACGCTTTACCGCCATCTCTCGGCTGCGTGGAAGCTGAGGTGGAAAGGTTTTCCACAGAAGCCCGACTTCGTAGCGATTACCTAATTGCCGCATTGTTGACTTCAATATAGCGTTTGCTTGCTTCTCTGCGTCGGACTCGAGCTTCTCTGTAACTGGGCTTATGCCTAAGTTATCCGTTTCGAAATAGTTTGAAACCAGTTGGTGTAGCTGTTGGCATTCTCGCACGTGCAAAATTCGCAAGCCTGTCGTTGACACAAACTTGGTCGGGCCATACGCCACCCAACCCAATGACGTTTTGATAGCCACCGGACTCTCATGGTCAGCCAGAACGGTACTCGAGCTGATACCTAAATGTGCTTCATTTAAACCGATCAACGAAACTGGTTTCGCCATGCTGTAGTCTTGCAATGGCAGGTCCCTTAAATGGTAGAAATCTTCTTTAACAAAAGACTGCTTAGGTAAATTCAGATTTTTTACCGTATGTACGTTTTTCAATGAAAATCTAGTATTATCGCAACAGCTACCAATTTCAAAGGTTACCTTGAATGATTCCTCGGTCACGACCCTGTCGTTGTACCACTGGAGTGTAAGGGGTTGACGGTGACCCTTAAGCCCAATGCTCTTAGCAGTCTCGTCTTCTATTATTGTGATCGCTGACCCTTCATCGAACATTGCCAAAACTTTGTATTTACCATTCGGCCCATAAAGGTTAACCGGAAGAATTTTAAATAGCTGCTTGGATGTCTGCTGTACAAGACGGCAATTCAGCAGCGGCTGCGTGCTAATCTGTCGTTGGGTTGCTTGTTGCGGTACGGTTTGTTGTTTATCACTGTGTAACAATTGGTTGTGGTACCTTGTACAGCCATTTATATTACAAGGCTTCTTAGACCGGCATTTCGACGAGCTATGTCCTTTGCGAAGACAAGCAAAACACAGTTGACACCTTTTTACCACTTCCCATCTTTCTGCTACACCTATCGTTCTAAAGGCTTCACATCTTGCGATTGAATGGTTGCCGCCACAATGGAAACACTTCATGGGCTCTGCTGGCCTTTCATCTTGTATGTGCATCAAACGTCGAGGATTAGCTGACGACACATTATGCTTGTAAATATTTGTGTTGGCAGCCGGCATCAAACAAACAACTCTAGCCAAGTCACTAAGCCATGCAGAAAAATCTTCTATTGTGGNCGGCATTTCGACGAACTATGTCCTTTGCGAAGACAAGCAAAACACAGTTGGCACCTTTTTACCACTTCCCATCTTTCTGCTACACCTACCGTTCTAAAGGCTTCACATCTTGCGATTGAATGGTTGCCGCCACAATGGAAACACTTCATGGGCTCTGCTGGCCTTTCATCTTGTATGTGCATCAAACGTCGAGGATTAGCTGACGACACATTATGCTTGTAAATATTTGTGTTGGCAGCCGGCATCAAACAAACAACTCTAGCCAAGTCACTAAGCCATGCAGAAAAATCTTCTATTGTGGGGTACCTATTCAGCGTAGCGGCATGCTTGGCCCAGTCGAACTGTTTGTTCGGAGGCAATTTGCAAATCATTTGCTCTAGTAAGCAAACGTTCGATAAGTGCTGGTCACACTTCGCAGATTTCAAAAACGCTACCACATTACGCACCTTGGTAGAAAATGGCACTATCTGCTCAGGCTTGTGCTCGGCTATAGTCGGGAGTTGTTGTAATTTACTAAGCTGCCATTTTACTAAAATGTCGGGCCTACCGAACCTAAACTCCAACTCGTTCAACACATTTGGCACGTCGTCAGGGTAAATTAGCATTGATACCACTGCTTCTTTTGCTGGCCCCACCAAGCACTTTTGTAATCGCATTAAATATTGTCGATTATTGTAGCTAAATGCCTGCGTAGTTTCATTAAAGTTGGCTACGAACAGAGGCCACTCTTCGGCATTGCCGCTAAACGTTGGCAAGTCGTAAAATTTTACCGCCAAATCTGTGGCTGGCACAACTGTGTGTCTTACCTCGCTTGGTGCTGGATGTACAGTTACATTTTCTTCACTTTGTGGTTGCATTTCTNTTCTTTTGCTGGCCCCACCAAGCACTTTTGTAATCGCATTAAATTTTGTCGATTATTGTAGCTAAATGCCTGCGTAGTTTCGTTAAAGTTGGCTACGAACAGAGGCCACTCTTCGGCATTGCCGCTAAACGTTGGCAAGTCGTAAAATTTTACCGCCAAATCTGTGGCTGGCACAACTGTGTGTCTTACCTCGCTTGGTGCTGGATGTACAGTTACATTTTCTTCACTTTGTGGTTGCATTTCTTCTCGTAGTCTCACGATGTCCCTCTGGCTTTCCAGCGTACTGTTCCGCAACTCTTCAACTGATGCCCGCAAGGCATTTAAAGTCGCGATAATAGCGTTCAAGTGGTCTTCACCCGCTGTGGCTGACCGTACTGAATCCTCCATTATCGTACTTTCAAACGATGACTCGCTTTCGCTGGCTACCCTTTCCACCACTCGGCTCCGTAGAAAATAAATATCCGACTCGCGTGACATGCACCCCTTATGCCGGGCAGACGTGTTAATAAGCTATGACAACTGCGCCGGTTTCGTGCCAGAAACTATGCAACTCCAGATCTACACCATGGTGACACACCCGAAAGTTGTAAAATTCAATCCTGTTCCTCAAAGACGTACCACAAATGTTGCAAACTCGAATTTGTTCCTCGCAGACGTACCAGCAAGTGTTGAGAACTCGAATTTGTTCCTCGCAGACGTACCAGCAAGTGTTGAAAACTCGAATTTGTTCCTCGCAGACGTACCAGCAAGTGTTGAAAACTCGAATTTGTTCCTCGCAGACGTACCAGCAAGTGTTGAAAACTCGAATTTGTTCCTCGCAGACGTACCAGCAAGTGTTGAAAACTCGAATTTGTTCCTCGCAGACGTACCAGCAAGTGTTGAAAACTCGAATTTGTTCCTCGCAGACGTACCAGCAAGTGTTGAAAACTCGAATTTGTTCCTCGCAGACGTACCAGCAAGTGTTGAAAACTGTAGAAATGATAAGACGATTGGCGTAGATTGACGCTTGTAGTTGGTGTTTTATTTAAAATAAGTTGCAATGTAAAATGTTTAAATATTTGATTTTCTACTTGGCACGCTTAATTGCGCGCGTTTCAACACTGTATTTGGTCTGGCACGTCTGCTCTCGTCGATATTTTCTTCGCCAATGATGGTAAGATGATTTTCCAGAATATTCGGTAGTGACGAGGAAATTTACAGCACGGTGAAAAGCAATGGTGGCGCCATCAGGGATACCGCTACTTTGGTTTTTGCCGATTTGTATTCTATCATTCTGAATTTTGACGTATGTATGTATATGAATTAGAATGTAGGAATGTCACAGGGTGACTAACAGTGTGGTCTTGCTGATTGTCGTAAACTTTAAAAGCCTGAATAAATGTTTCGGGGACTTGGAGCCACCTATGACAACCAACTATTTTTTAACACTGAAAATTCATAAAATGTATGATTTATAGTATCTTGCGAACCCCTTAATAAATTTTTAGCCGTTTGAAGTCTTCATACAACAATACAACACTTACGACTCCTTTGCGAATACCCCAATTGTTTCGGAGACGTCTAAAGCATAGGGACGGTCTCTGAATACTCTTCGCATAATCCTTTAACTGTTTTTCCAACCATTTTGGCTGAATAAATGTGCAGACACAGACGCAACACTTTTTTCAATGTGCCAATATCAACTCATCTTTTAATCAGATGTGTTCGCATGAAGTTCGTGTTTTTACAAATCGCGTAAGTTTCATCGCACCTCAAACTAATTATGATTATATTTTTAAAATGTTTTATTCACAAAAGTTTTCATTTTAGACGAATAAATCTTAGGATATAGGTGATTGCCTCTAACGAACTGTAAGCACGTATTTTTATAGAAGAGTTTACAATTACGTAAGTGAAAATTTCAACACTTTCGAATAAAAGCAATGGGGCATATTCCATTGGAACTTATGTCAAAAGACTGCCACTAACTTAAATTCGATTTTATTTTGATTATGAATATCTTCCAATAATTTTATTTAAAAGAAAATTAGTCTAGTGTGGCAACTGCGTTTCTCTTTTCTTCCCCGTTCGCCATCGTTTTTGACATTTGACATTTCTTGTTACCGGTTTGGGACGTTTATACACTACCGCGAATCGGTTAGGAACTTTTCCTAATGTGTCAGAATGTCAACATAAAACAAAAGGAAGATACCACGATTTTCTTAAGAGAATGGAAGTATGTTTGTATTTGTTGAAGAGATGTTGGCATATTCTCTTTGTATATAGCCACACCTTTTCAAAGAGAATGGGGCCCGTTACTGGGCCTCCGGTTACTGGTGTCGTTGTTTGCCGGAAACACAATTTTTTGCCGTTTGTATTTATGTGTGTGTTTCAATTCAATAGGCAGTTGATGATGAAGGAAACAAATTTGCCGTTTCTATTTGCTGTCGGTAAAAGCAAATGACAATGGCGTACACGATATGTTTGTACATGCGTATGTATGTATTGAGTAGCAGTTTGATAGGATTCCACTGAATTAAATAGGGAGTAAAATGGTGGTTGGTTAGGACATTTCTACCAGGCCTATCATTAATTCCGCCTGCGCAACAATGCAATTATCAATTCCAACCTGAATACGAAATTTTTATCTACCTATCACTAATTCAGAGTGAAACGCAATTTTTACAGTTTTTTGTTAAAACCAACCAAAACATGCAAACAAATCAACAACTAAGTAGATATTTTTTATTTTTTGGAATTAAATAAAAATGCAAGCAGTCTTTATTAATGGTTAGATATGTATATGTAGGTTTTTTTTTTTCAAGAAATCCATCCGCAAATTGAATTCATCACACTGATACAGTTATGATGACCAATTTGAAATTAAAATAATTAACTTCTAATATGAAAAAAAATTTACATGGACGAATAGCCGGACGAAAGCCAAACATATCCAAGAAAAATGTTTTACAGCGTTTACGTTTCGCGAAGAAGCACCTTCACCGCGACCATGATTTCTGGAAAGTTGTTGTCTGGAGCGACGAATCCAAGTTCAATGTTTTTGGAAATGATGGTAGGCATTACGTAAGGCGGCCAGTCAACTTCCATTTGGATCCAAAATACACGAAAAAAAACCGTAAAGCATGGTGGGTCATCGGTTATGGTCGGGGGGTGCTTTATTTCGTCCGGAGTTGGTCCGATAGTGAAAATCGATGGCAAAATGACAGGTGATATGTATAAGAGTATCCTTGAAAATATGTAATCTCTTTGATGAGTATGCCGATAATTTGCCCTTATTATGGAAATTTCAACATGACAACGACTGGAAGCAAATTAGAGTTCTTGAATGGCCAGCCCAAAGTCCCGATTTGGGACGGGGAGTGGCCGCCAAAAAACCTTCAAATAAAACCTCTCTGTGGGAGATAATTTCAAAATGAATGGAATAATGTTGCTCCGCCTCAATGTGCTGCTCTTGTAAAAACAATGCCCAACAGATGCGCTGAGGTAGTACGTCAAAACGGTTATCCTACGAAGTATTAAAGGTTCGATTCAATAACAATACAAAAAATGCAAATTTGCCTTTCATAGATATTTTATTTTCAGATGATTTAATTATACGTCCAAACAGTAAGAACGATCATCACAAAAATTTTATGAAAATATTTTTTACTAAAGTGAAGTACCTCTTTTTGTATGTTATTTTTAAAATTAAGCCAAAATAAATGAGAAGTACTGTCTCATTTTTCTTTATCTAAAATACGTTTTAATAATGATACAAGGAATCAAAATGCCAATGACTTAATTCTGTGTCCACGAGTGTATATATATAAAATCGCCATTTAGTTCAACACCTTATACGGGTTTAATATACCGTTGGGGTCCAGCAACTTCTTCACATCTCTCATCATTGCTATGGCTTCAGAGGCTTTACTGTATCTCAAGTAGTTTTTCTTGAGAAAACCAATGCCATGTTCAGCACTTATGCTGCCTCTTAGCTTGTGAGTGTATTCATAGATGAAAGGTTCTATTTTGTGATAAAGTTCCTGGGTGTATTCGGTGCAGCACACGTTCAAGTGCAAATTGGAGTCGCCTGATTAAAGGAAGAAATACATACATAGTAAAATTGAATACGGTAAATAAATTTATCTAAAAAAATGCAAAATGTATTTAACAAGAAAATAACGCAGTCAGAGATAGAAAAATAAATAAATAAATAAAAATTCCATATCTACCCAAGTGTCCAAATCCAGTGACTCGTGTCGCCAGCGGTCCTACACGCTCCCTCAAAACATCGACTATACTATAGAATTCGCGTAACGGTAATGAGAGATCGTAATAAAAGCAATAGCCATCTTTTCCTAAAGCTATTGGCGCTATTTCTCGTAGCTTCCAGATTTCCTGCATTTTACGTGCTTCGCTCGCTATGGTGCCATCAATAATTTCACCCTTTCCCATGCCAAATTCAACAAAACGATTTATTTTCTCCAAATCATGTGAACCATTGCTGCCGGAAGTCTCGAGTAGCATGTAAAATGGAAAACTTCCGATTGGTGTACTACGATGCGGGAGAAAAGTGGTTAGCCCCAGGGGGTTTTGCCAACAATAACATTCATTTTTCGAAACTCACTTCAATTCAAAATGATCAAAGTCAGCCTGCAGGGTGGGGGCATCAATCATTTCACATGCGGATAGAATCTCACCCAAGTGGCGTTTGGCGCTCGAAAAGGTTTTGAGCACTGCATCAAAATTAGGCAAACCTTGAAGAAAATTTTCATACCTATAATGTTACACAGTTTATAATGCATGACGAAATGCGCTCACCCAAAAACGCCAAATGTTGTGCTTGCGGCTGTGGCGCACACAAAAGTGACACTTTGGTTATCACACCCAAAGTGCCCTCGGCGCCAATAAAGAGATGTTTCAAATGATAGCCAGTATTGTCCTTTTTGAAGTCGGACATTAAATCTAGAACTTCACCATTCGCTAGCACCTAAGCTTGTCGCTTTTTGTTAGACGGTCAGTTTTATAATATTGGCATGTGTCACTTACCACTTCCAAACCCAAAACGCTGCCATGCAGATTGCCATAGCGCACCACCCGCAAACCACCAGCATTGGTAGAAACATTGCCACCAATGTGACAACTCGCTTTGGCGCCCAAATCCAATGGCACTACAAAATCTAATTCACGCGCCTTTCTGTCCAAATTTTCGAGAATGCAACCAGCCTCACACGCCGCAATGCCAGTGATCTCATCGATTT